ATACCAACAAAACCCACCAAATTACCCAAAATCCGAATTCCCTAACTCCACCTACACCAAGTCAGAATTTTGCTCAACCAACAAAGAAAGAAATGGCACCACAAAAAGGGTTCATCTTCTATGACGTCTTGAAGATGAGCACTAGGGACAGTGCTTTGGCTAGCATGGGGGGAGAGTTTTATGGACTACTCGCATTCATACTCTTTATTCTTGTAAAAAAAAAAATGTTCAAAAAAAAAAAAGAATAAAAAGCTTGTTAAGTTGAAAACTTGAAAAGGCAACTTAAGCAAAAATAAAGCAAAAATAAGAGTGAGTTGTGAGGATTGAAACAGAAAAATGTGGGAAGCTGGGATGAAAACCCGAAAGGGCACCTAGGCAAAATGAGAGAATGAGAGAAAGTTTTTTTTCTTTTATTTCTGCAGGATCCTAAGGGAAACGAAAAAAAAAAAAAAATGAGATTGATAAGAAATATGGAGTTGAAGACCCCTCTTTACTCTTATATTTTTGGGGATATTTTTTGGTTTACTCGAGACGAGTAAAGGTTCAAGTGTGGGGGTGTTTGATATGCACTAATTAGTAGTGCATAAGTGTATGTTTTTATGTTTGATTTGTGTGTATTGTTTATCGTTTTATTTAGTTTGTAAACATTTATGTGATTTTAGTTGTAATTGTATTTTAATCTTCATTTGTAAGTTGGAAAGTAGAGTTAGTATTTATGGTGTTAGAAAGGAAGAGTTTGAAGTGAAGAAAAAGGTGATAAGTGTGCCCAGGAGCACAAACCCGGTCGGGTCAGACCATGCACCCGGTCGGGTCTGATGTAAAATCCGAAACTGCCCGGAAAATCATCAGACCCGGTCGGGTCCCCTACTTGACCCGGTCGGGTCAGACTTGACCCGAGACACCAGGACGTGCCGAAGATCGCCAGAATGTGGAGGATATCTGATTTTGACCGGACCCGGTCGGGTAAGCACCTAACCCGGTCGGGTACCCGGCCCAAGGTGTTGAAAAACACCTATAAATAACCCCATTTTCCTTCACAAAGAATAACTCCTTCTTCCATACTCTTAAGCTCAGTTTAGAATAGTATTTCTTTTATATTTTTATAGCATGTTTAGTCTCCAAATGAGGAGCTAAACTTCCATTTCTTGGTGTTGCTCTTGAAGCTTGTTGATTATTAAAGTTGTGAGTTATTTTCTTATCTTCTTCCCTTGAATATTAATTATTCTCTTAATCTATCTATATATTAATGTTGGGGAGTGTTACTAAGATGACAATTAGTTAACATCTCGACATTAATTATGGTAGTATTTATTTTCTTCCTCTATATATTAATGTTGGGGAGTGTTGCTAAGATGACAATTAGATAACATCTTGACATTAGTTATAGTAGGATTATTCATATTTAATCTTCTTCCTTGAATATTAATTCTTCCCTTAATCTATCTCTATATTAATGTTGGGGAGTGTTGCTAAGATGACAATTAGTTAACATCTCGACATTAATTACTACTAGAAACGATCAACGAACCGATGGTTAATCGTTGATGGCTTCACAAGTAAGTAACTTCGGTTTATTAATGCACGGTCGTGGTTAATAAACTTAAGAGGGATTAATTTTGTTGGTTAAACCGAAACCGCTGTGTTGAGGTTATCAATCTCAATTGATTTCATCAAGGAGTTAAGAGATTAAATGCTACTATCAAGTCGGTATATGGCGGTGTTCTATACTTGACTAATAGTAAGGGTTATTAATGAACGGTCGTTGTTAATAACTACCCTCGATGAATTGGATATACTCCTCGATTGAGTATTCGAGAGGGGATTAGTTATAGATATAACAATGATCGACTGAAATATATCAACAAGTGGAAAGTAGCAATGCCAAGTCCTTTTTATCTTTAAATTAAGTTGTTCATCTTTATGTTTAATTAAGTTAAATCATTCAATCCCAAAACCCCCCTCATTTACTAGTTTTACTAAAAAGAGAATTATTCCTTTCCCTGTGGATACGAACTCTACTACACTATACTACGTATAAGTGCTAGTGATGAATTATTTACTTTGAGTGCACTCACGACAAAGTGCACGTCACTTGTCACTGGCAATAATCCTGAGCTCCTTCGCAAGTTTATTTCTTACACTCACAGGGAATTCTCCATTAAAGATCTTGGAAAGTTAAATTATTTCTTGGGACTTGAAGTGTCTTACACCCCCACAGGCTTATTTGTTGGGCAATCCAAATGCGCTCATGATATTCTGGAGCGTGCTGCTATGTTGGATTCTAAACCCGTCTCTACTCCCTTAGCCCCCGGCACAACTTTAATCAGCACTGGCCAGCCGTTTTCTGATCCCACACTTTTTCGCTCCATTGTAGGAGCGCTACAATATCTAACCATCACTCGTCCTGACCTCGCATTTGCAGTGAATTTTGTCAGCCAATTTTTGCATTCACCTACGGAGGAGCATTTTCTCGCTGTCAAGAGGATACTTCGGTATGTCAAAGGTACTATCCACTATGGTCTATCCTTTGATCATCGCTCCTCACAATCCATTGCTGCATATTCTGATGCTGACTGGGCACGTTGTATCGAAACACGACGTTCCACATTTGGTTATTCTGTATTTCTTGGTGGAAATCTTGTCTCTTGGAGTGCAAAGAAGCAACCGACTGTTTCTCATTCTAGTTGTGAATCTGAGTATCGGGCTCTTGCAAACACCGCTTCCGAAGTCATGTGGTTGGTTCTAGGGGTGGGCAAACGGGTCTTGGAACCGCGGTCCGGTCCGGGTAATGGCGGTTCGGGTCCAAAACGGGCCGGTTCCATTTTTTGTTGCCATAAAACGGTCCGGGTAGGTTCGGGTAATATTTTTTAAGGACCCGGGCCGGTTCCAAAATAAAAAAATACCGGGTACCCGGCCCGGCCTGTTATATATATATTGTATATTAATTTATTAATAGTTTTGTGATAATCGGTTTTGAAATAGTTTTGTTTTCCTTTGCTAGAAGTAGGATTTCAAATTGAGTTGCAGTAACATCATTTTGCTTTCAAATTATTGATTAAATTTTACATTAATTTCTTATTACTTTTTATTGTTATTGAATTATTCCTTTCTATGGAATTTAATTATTTGTTAAAAATGATTTTGTAATACTCCGTATTTGTTTTTATAGTATTGTTCTTAAAATATATAAATTGTGATTACCACTCCCATGTATGTGTCAATTTTGGCTAATACTGAAAATTTAATAAAAAAACACAATCACCTTAATATGTGATGTTAGACAACATTTTTAAATTCAAATGTTAGAAAATATGTATTTTGGCTATGTTGCTGACTTTTGGAACTTCTTTAATTGTTTGGAACTTATATACATGAAATTATGGAGTATTGGACTTGTCAATTGTGTTACATGTGCATCACTATGTTGTTATTTTGAAACTTACTAATGTACTATATTATTGATTATTGATTTTTGGAACTTTTTAAGTTTTTACTAATTTTAAGACATGAGAATAGAAACCGTAAAACCCGGACCGGACCGACCCGTTTCAAACGGGCCGGGTAAGGTCCGGTTCCTATTTTGAAAGTTGCAATGCCCGGACCGGACCGTACAATGGAACCGGCGGTTTCATTTTATTTTGCATTACCCGCCCCGACCCAGCCCGTGCCCAGCCCTAGTTGGTTCATTTACTTTGAGAGCTCCGTGTACCTACTCCCTCTCCACCTGTCATTTTATGTGACAACAAGAGTGCTATCTTTTTAACTCAAAACCCAATTGCCCACAAACGTGCCAAACATATTGACATTGACTACCACTTTGTCCGGGAACTGATCTCAGCAGGGCGCCTCTCCACCCAGTTTGTTCCCTCACACCTACAACTTGCTGACATTTTTACCAAAAGTCTTCCTCGACCGGCATTTGAGTTTCTCCGATCCAAGCTTCGCGTGTGTTTAAACCCCACGCATCGCTTGACGGGGGGTAATAGTGTTACTTAATTGTAATTGTACTTAAACTAGTATTCTCTAGAATCCTCTTGTAATTAATTCTCCTCTTTGTAAATCATTATATATAGTGGATTAATTCTCCTCAAACATTATTGAGGAAACATAAATATTTACTCTATCACATAAAGTATTTCATTATTGTAGTAAATTAGTAATGCAATACTGAATACGATAGTATAGAAATACGGAGTAGTACAAAACTAGGGGAGGGATGAAAAACAGAAAAAACAACATGAAAATTAAGAAGCATGTGCCCTGCCCTTCACCATCTTCTCATTTGACATTTGTTCAATTTTTAAGAAAGTACTTTCTCATTAATGAAAATTATGTATTAAGTTTATCCCATTATCATTATAGGTAAAATTATATATTTATATATGTCATTGTTATTAAACCTATGAAGTGTCAATTAAATGAGTTTGAATGTTTGACATACACAATTCTTTCACAGTCAACACAAATTTAGTAAGATGAGAAAAATAATGAACGGAGGGAATAATTGATATGGAAAATTCACACAACCTTTCTCTAAAAAGGACACTCAAGAGAATGGACGCATATCTTCTATTTCCTCTATCCTATATTCCTATCAACAATGCTTGATGTACCCACTCTTATACTGTGAAGTGTAAGAGAAATAGAGAATGCTTGATGTACCCACTCTTCACCATGTTTGTGAAGTGTTTTTTTACTGTGAATCTGATTCACAGACAATATTTTGTTTATGCAAAATATTGTCTATGAACCGGGGTTCACAGACAAAAAAAACACTTCACAAACATAGGTGGGTACAAAAGTGGGTATAAGAGTGGGTACAAACATCATTTTTGTATTCCTATTATGTCACATTTTTCATTCTTTCAGCAAATTTTGTATATATCATACGGATTACAGACTATTTGATAAGTATTTGTGTAATTGCAACTCATTCATACTTTATAACTTCAATGACAACTACATAATTTCACTGCTTTGAATACATCTAAATGTGTGCACTATTTTCTTATGCCCCAAAGGAAACATTGTAATAACACTTGTGTAAATATCAAAATATGAAATTTTGAATGTTTTCAATTGGACTCATTTCAATCCCAAACCAAACTAGACTTAAATTGATCAAACTTTGACAATAATAAAATACACAAACAAACATCTGTCACACCAAATCATGCTTAAGTAAACCAAAAGCAATCAATCCAATTAAAAGAATACTTCAACAAGTAATAATACACTTTCATGAACAAGATGGGAGTAAGATCCAAAGGAGCTTATAGAGATTAAAAATAATACTCTTGTTTTTTTCGACACAGTGAGTTCCACCCATGCATTGATGCAATATGTGTATACTTGTTGCCTTGTTGGAGTTGTTGGTAAGATTCAAATCCAAATAGAAGTTGAAACGCTGATCCTTTTTTACTGAATTGATAAGCAATATAGTATTAACCCTTTCCGAATACACAACAATGTGAATGAAGTTGAACATTTATGCCCGTAAAAGTGGCAACTCCGTTACTATTTCGCCAATTGATTTAACAAACATAAAAGAGACAATTGTGAACTCACGCTGTATTCAACACTCTAGAGAAAGCATGAAAACATTGGCCATGTTCCGAATTTGGAACCAAACACCAAACATTTTTCAATTTGAACGAAGACATAAAAGCACATCCTATGTGACAAATGATGGAAGTGATCAATACCATAGAACCAACCCGGGCAAGCAAACTGATGAGATCGTGCTTCACGCAACAAAATTAGTCTGTAGACCGTATTAGTATTACTATACTACTACTACTACTACAGTTATTATATTATTACTATTACTATTATCATTATTATTATTATTAAAAAAAACAGCTGTCCAAAATGCTACTCAATTAATGTCTTGAAATAATTGATTTGTAGAATTTACAGCACATGGTTGTGATTGGAAAACCTCAACCCCCCTCCCCTCCAGTTCCCCAAACTCTAAGAAAGTTAAAAGCAAAGCTTTATGTACAAAGGCTCAGAATCTTCTTCCGTGACTTCAACTTCAACTCTCATTATTCTTTCTTTTAACATAAACGAATTAAATGGTTCCATCTGCTTGTTTTTTTCACTCTCCTATGCAGAATGAAAACTGACCTGCCCAGATGCTACCTGTCCATACTCAGCATACGCCTCCGGAGTTTCTTCTTCGCTAGGTGGAACCAGCTGCCAAAACAGCGGTAAATATTTATCCCACTCCTTCAGAACTGCAGATCCTTTGCTGCTCCCAGTTTTTTCCTACACAAAAAAAGGAAAGAAGAATAAGATGTGCTAGGGATTATATGAGAATATCAGAGGTATACCAAACTAAACTTTCCCTATGGTCATTTCGGGAATTGGATTTGGAGGTTTTGGAGGACTTAACATATACGTAGTATATTTTTTCTAAAACTAATAAAATGTGAAGATTAATATTTAATATCATCACATATACTAAATCTTTAAATCTCTTACATCTCGCTTGGAACCTTAACCCCAGCTGTATTGGATTCAACCCACTTTTGTATATTTAGCCCTAGTTGTAGCAATAAATATAGCCCTTGTGTAGTCCTTTGAATCAATCAATAAGAATGAGAGCCTTCTATTTCACATGGTACTAGAGAATTTATTTAACCTTTATCTGATATGCATATTCCTTTTTTAAAACTGGTAAATTCACATGGTACTAGAGAATTTATTTAACCTTTATCTGATATGCATATTCCTTTTTAAAACTGGTAAACTCTCACACCGGATATCTCTGAAAGAATTACACACTATATTAAGATCTAAGTTACTCCTATCAGGTTGACCTTTTAGGATTGAACCTCAGATCTTAACATGATATTAGAGCCAAATTGATCCATTGTGTGGCCCCCCTTATGAAAAATGATGACACGAAAAAATGACAATGACGAACCAATGAAAAAATGAAGGGTGTTAAATTCTCACACCGGATATCTCTGAAAGAATTACACACTATATTAAGATCTGAGCTACTACTCCTATCAGGTTGACCTTTTAGGATGGAACCCCAGATCTTAACATCACTCATGAAGCACTGTCACATTCAGAGTGGCGTTACGTCATTTTGACTGAGATGGATGCTCTACATTCTAGGGGACGTGTGAATTAGTTCCCTTTTCTCGTGGAAAATCTATCTTAGGAGGATGTATAACTTTAGGGTTGGCCTTGAAGGAACAATTGATCATTTAAAGCGCGTCTGCTAGCAAAAGGGGTTCACACAGAAATTGGACAATAGTGATACATATTCTCTTGTGGTCAAAATTACATAAATTTTCTTACTACTGTCTATGTCGACCTGAGTTGCTGGTCATTGCACCAATTTAATATAAAAAATGTTTTTCTACACAATGATCTTGAGGATGAAGTTATATGGAGCAACCACCATGTTATGTTGCTCGGTTGAGTCAGGTCTTATGTGCATATTACGTCATTCCTTATATGGTTTGAAGCAATCTCCGCGTGTGACTGAGTGATGTCATTTGCAGTGATTTGAAGTGATGTGGATCATTCCGTTTTCTATGGACATTTCACAGAAAACAGGTGCATTTATCAGGTTGTACATGTTGATGAACAGGAAATCACTCAACTCAAGGAATCCCTAGCAAATTTCAAACAAAGGATCTGGGAAACCTAAAGTATTTCCTTGATATGCCCTGGATATTCTTGAGGAAAGAGGTATGCTGAAGTGTATACGAGTAGACACTAATAGATTCAAATGTCAAATTCTTGCATGAACAAGGGGAGATTTTACCTGCTCGAGATATAGAAGTTTTATTGGAAAACCGAACTATCTCCCAATTACGAGACAGATATATCCTTCATTGTAAGTATACTTAGTCAACAAGCCATGTGATGGTCATTGGGATGCGGCTACTGGAGTCTTGAGATGCATAAAGAAAACACCAAGTCAAGGATTACACCTCGAATACAGGGGCCACAATAACATTGTGGGATACTCTGATTCAAACTAGACTGATAGATAGGCATTCTATTTCTCAATATTGTATCTTGATTGGCAGAAACTTGATTTCATGGAAGAGTAAGAAACAAGATGTTGCTATCTGACCATGTGCTCGAGCAAAGTACAGTGCAGACCCTTGTTGCGTGTGAGATTATATGGTTATAGCACCTCTTTCAAGAATTTAAATACAGATGCATAAAACTTGTACAACTGATGAGGGATAACCAAGCTACAATTCATATCGCACCTAACCCGGATGAAAGGACTAAACATATAGGTGATTGTCACTTCACCCAAAAGAAGATTTTAAATGGATAAATTTTCACAAGTTATGTCCAAACGACAGATCACCTTGTAGATGTTTTAATAAAATCTCTCCAAGGTTTCAGAATAGAATAGAATAAATTTGTAGCAAGCTTAGTGCATATGGTTTATATGCCCCAAGCTTGAAGGGGTGTTGAAACCCTAACCCTGACTGCATTGGCCTCGGCCCACTTTTAGCCCTAGTTGTAGCTATACCCTAATTGTAACTATAAATATAGTCTTTGTGTAATGCTTTGGATCAATCAATAAGAATGAATCTTATATTTCACAAACTCAAATAAACCCTACTACATCAACCCTCATATGTGCCCTACCAAAATATAGATTAGCCTCTCCATTGCCTTCCCCTTCAAATCTCCCCAGAATCCTCACCCAAACAGACCCTTAGTGAATCTATTAACATATCCGCAAAAGTTTCAAGTGTTTTTACCACATGAGCCTTGATAAGGTTCTTTAGCAGCATCTGTCCCACCGGACCCATTACTCTCTGAATCTTTACAATTTCCTTGTTTACCTATCAGAACATCACAGGCACCACCACACAATTACCAATTTTAGAATATAGAAATAAAAACTTCTAGGGTATGTTTGGGTCATCGAAGGAAAAAATATGCCTTAATGTCAATGCAAGTTATTTTCAGAAAAATGCAAAAAAAATATAATATGGTTAATTTTTTAAAAAGTTTCAATTCTGTTTGAGTGTTAGATGACCCCAAATTCTTTTGGGACTAAGGCTTGGATAGTTGGATGTTGTTATTGTATTTGAGTTTTATAATACAGAAAAAGGTAAATGAAATTAGTTTAAGAATAAAACAAATTTGTAGTTGAGCTTGAACTAATCTTATATTCTGTCAAAATCTTCTAATTTTTTCTCCATTTTCTTTCGCAGGTATCTTCCTACTTTCAAACAGACCCTTAGAATCTGTTTGGAACACGGAAAATGCCAGAAAGAAAGGAAGAGGAACGTGGGGGGATAAAAGGGGTTCAAACTAAATAAATCATTTTTAGACATCATTTAAAGTCATTTTATGTATATAATTCGATTATACAATTCCTAAGAAATCAATTGATAAGTTAAATCTTAAAAATTCTGCCAAAAGAAAATTTTAATTAACAAAAAAATTACTCCGTATAACATTTCCCTTTAGCACTTTTTTTCTTAACCTGTTATTTTCATGTAATCAGCTAACCACGAAGAAACTGGTAGACAGCAAATAAGGGCGGTCACAATATTTTCATGTACATAGAAGTGAATGTTGGCACAAACCTTGGGAATAAGCGTATCATCCTCATCGAGAATGTATGCTAGACCTCCTGTCATACCTGCTGCCACATTTCTACCCACCCTGACAATATAAAAACTTGAAAATATAACTCAAACTATGGTTGATAATATCCACACAAATATTTCCATGACAAGCCAAAGAGCACTTACTTTCCAAGCACAACAACACAGCCTCCCGTCATGTACTCGCAACAATGGTCCCCAGTGCCTTCCACGACTGCTTGAGCAAGAGAGTTTCTAACAGCAAAACGCTCCCCTGCTTTCCCCCTTACAAACATCTGCCCACCAGTTGCTCCATATAAGCATGTATTGCCTACTATAGTGGCATCCTCTGGATAAAACCCAGTATTTTCAACAGGAGTGACAACTAGTTCTCCTCCAGCCATACCCTATGATCAATGAAAGGCGTGATAGTCAAAATAACTTGATTAAAAAGAGGGCAGCCCGGTGCACGAAGGCGTCACCGCAACACAAGGATCTGGGGAAGGGTCCCACCACAAGGGTGTATAAGGAACAAGTCTTCCCCTATCAAATTTTGACAAGAGGTCGCTCCCAATACTTGAACCCGTGACCTCTCGGCCACACATCAACACCTTAATCGGTACGCCAAGGCTCCCCGTCACTCATAATAACTTGATAAGCTAAAAAAGTTTGTATGGGTAACTTTTTTTGGGGATCAATTAATTAAAAATGCTCAGTAAACGAGGACAAATTAGAGGTAGTAAGGACTGACAAACTGCTTCATTAAACATTTACAGTAATTTCCATTTGAACTTGCATGCAAAAAGAATGATATGACATAGTAATGAGTCTAATGACAATGCCTATTATCAGTAGACTAACTCAGTCGGTTAAAAAATACACACTATAAGCTTCGAGTTTAAGGTGTAAATGTGTTCCAAACATGTATTAGTAACCAACCAACCTTTCCCACATAATCATTAGCTTCTCCCACAAGACGGATTTTCATTCCAGATGTCAAAAAGCAACCAAACGACTGCCCAGCACTCCCTGTGAATCTGCATGTGATGCAAGAAGTCTATAAGTTGCACAACTACATCTAAGTTTTATTCCCTCAAGAGTTTAGGGTCGGGTAACATGAATCAGCATATGGTATCGTAGTTAAAACAATAAACAATAAATTGTGAAAAAGGGAGCCAAACAAAATCAAATAAATCTTTCATACATATACTTTCTCTCCACTTTGACCTCTCCAAATTCATACTCTCATCTAAACCAAGAAGTGTCATATTATTCTTGACCACTCTATTCCATGTCAATTTACGTCGTCCTCTCTCTCATCACTGCCTCCTCTCCCTCGCTCTCAATTCATCTAATAGGTACATCACTCAATCTGCTACACATATGGCCAAACCACCCTAACTGAGACTGTCGCGTCTTATATTCAGTAAGAGTTAGGTGTTACTCCCACGTTTTGCCTAATTGTCGCATTCCCAAGCAGTCTTTTCCAGTAAGCCCACACATCCAACGCAACATGTGTACTTCAGCCACTCTCATGTTTTGAATGTGACATTGTTTCATTGTCCAACACTCAATGCCATACAATAATATAGACCTAGTTGTTGCTCGATAAATCTTACCCTTTAGTCTAGTCGGCAACCTCGATCACATGGAAATCTTGATGCCTTCATTTGGTCCACCCATTTTAAGTCTATGGGATACAATTCACTGTCCTACTAAATTATGGAGTCCATGTAACGGAGCATATCACTAATCGGGATCTCCCTACCGACCTAAGTAATCTCAATGTTACCACTATTTCTATCCACACTAAACTTCCACTTTATATACGCAGTCATGCTTCAACTTAGCCTGAAACCTTTGCTCTCCAAGGTATATTAAAAATCATATATTAAAATCATCACAGGAACTATGTAACAAGATTGGTCTTACGATATATTAAGCTGCCCAGTAAAACCAGTTTCACCATATTTCTTCGCGATAACACCCGCTATACGACCGCAAACAGCACGGTCTATATTATAGATCTGCATTGTTTTATTGACCACCTTCTGGTTCTCAATTGCATCAGATACCTGCAATAGAAATCAATTTGTTGTGCATAAAGACCAAACAATCACAGAAATACTTGTGTAACTATACACAAAATACTCTTTTAAAGGGGGTTCCAATGAATAGTGATATTTGGATTCAAAATGGAATATTTGCATGTAGATTTTTGTATTTTTCACTTTTGGATAGTGTGACAGATTTGAGGAGAGCTTTTTCTTCAGAAGTAGTATTTGAAAATAATATGATAAACAAAATGAGTACGCAATCGTTGATCTTACTTCTAAACTAAATCCAAATGGCTTCAATTTGATAAAGAAAAGATGGAAACCGGTAGGCAGAGAGGGGAACAAGAAAGTTTCTAGTAGATCAATGAAAAAAATTGAATAATTAAATTACATCAGTCACACACTATGGGGTGAAGTCATTTTTTATTTTTACCTCAGGGTCAGAGAGTAAAACATCATCCAGAACAGGACCATTACTATGAACCTCCTGGTTCCTTATCATAGTACTGCTCCATGTGGGTACACCCACTTCCTAATACATAATGTTAGAATTTGTAGTACATCCAACTGTAGGTAAAAAACTGAGATGATGAAAATAGTTGTATATACTTGGGAACGTACAGAAAGTATGTGGCTGAGGTCAAGATGCTGAGTTTTCATTAAAGAGATATCTCGAGGTCTTAATAGTTCTCTCCGTCCAATAACGTCATCAAGTTTCTCATATCCCATTTCTGCTAGAATGCCTCTTACCTGGCCAGAAATTGTAAAAAATATATATTTATAAATAGCAATTAAATAGAGGGGCAAAGGCCTGCCGTGCAATTAAAACAAATTATGCTTGCAAGGTATCTCTTTCTCAGTGAGACCAGTTATTCACCATCTGTTTCTCTACACCCTTGTTGGGTCTCCGTGCGGATACGAAGAGGCATTTAACAGCTATACAATAGTACTGTTGCTAAAAATGAAAAGAGTAGGGGTGTTTGTGGGAAAGTGATAGCTGAAGGAAAGTTGGCAACATTGGAGATGACAGCTGAAAGATACTAAAGACTAAAACTAATGTGTTTAAAAAATAGCTACTTAACATCTGTTCTAGAAACGATAACCTAAAGACCACAAAACAGGACAAAAATGACAATAACAAGGATGCAAGAAAACTTTTACAGAATACTTCATAGGCACATCCATAGATATTACCTCTTCAGCAACATATAAAAAGAAATTCACGAGGTCGCCAGGTACACCTGGAAATCGAGCTCGTAGTTCTTCTCTCTGAAAAAATAGGAAAAGTGGGGAAAACAGAAGTAAGTACTTGATTAAATAAAGATAACATAAAATTTTGAAAAGGAAATTTAGTAACACGAAACCATTTGAGACCTGGCTTGCAACACCAACTGGACAATTGTTTGTGTGACAAATGCGGGCCATAATACAACCAGTGGCAATCATTGCTACAGAACCAAAACCATACTCGTCAGCTCCCATTGCCGCAGCCATCATAACATCAAATCCACTTTTAAAGCCACCATCAACTCTAAGAACAACTCTCTCTCTCAGACCATTTTCAATGAGTGTCTGCACATGCAATCATTTTAGACTTTTTAAATTGATGGCATCAAAATATGGTTTGTTTGAAGACTTCCACAGAAACACATAAACCTGGTGTGTTTCTGTGAGCCCAAGTTCCCAGGGACCACCAGCATGTTTTATTGAACTCACTGGGCTTGCCCCAGTCCCTCCATCATGGCCTGATATCTGCAAACATTTCCCTCCACATTAAGGAAACCATGAGAAATCCATGCTAAGGGTGTGTGTGATGTGAGTTATAGGCTGTTTGCGGAGTGTGGCATTGTGTGTGTTGGTATGTCATGCACAATAGTATGGAAAGAAGAAAATACTTCACCCAAGACTTTTAGTAAACAAGATTTTAATGTGCTATACACAGTAATAATAATGTAATATCGAAAGAATAAACCATGTTCACCCAAGCTTTACACATCTTCATAATAGCTGCACATTGCATTATGTGTTAAGTTAAAGATCTAAGCATTTAAATGCCAAAAAAACTTCAAAGTTTAAATCCATTTGCTAAGGGAGATGCAGGCATCACTTTCCAGAAATAAACAACTCTTTAAAAATAAAAATGATTTACCTTAATTAATGATATAGACTAGACACATCCGAAAACAGTCTCTCTTTGCTTTAGCAAAGGGGTAAGACTGCGTACATCTAACCCCCTCTTACCTCACTGTAGGTGGGCGCCTTTGCGGCACTGGGGTAATGTTGTTGTTGTTGTAAAGATATAGACTAGACAAAACAGAACCTTCTGATTGATCCAATCAATATCATATGTAAATGTGGGAAACTTCTTAATACCTGAATGATGTCAGCATTACCCTTTGCAACCCCAGAGGCCACAGTACCAATACCAGCTTCTGCCACAAGTTTTACAGAAACTTTAGCTTTGGGATTAACCTGCTTATCAATAACAAAGATTCAGGAACAGTGCTCAGTAACATATTGAGGCTTAATAGAGGCAGAGATGCATCATATCACCTGATGGAGGTCATAAATTAACTGTGCTAGATCCTCAATAGAATAAATGTCATGGTGTGGTGGTGGGGATATCAGCGGGACACCAGGTTTTGAATTTCTCAGTCTTGCAATATAAGCACTGACTTTTTTCCCAGGCAATTGACCACCTTCACCAGGTTTTGCCCCTTGTGCAATTTTAATTTCTAATTGATCAGCATTGGCTAAAAATGTTGGAGTGACACCAAAGCGGCCAGAAGCAACCTGAGGATCAATTAAAGCATAGGTACTATGAACATAATCATCTGATTAGGGGAAAATATCATCAAATTGTCAAACCCTAAAGAGGAGAGATTGTATCATTGAGACCTGCTTTATTGCACTAGTTGCGGTATCTCCATTTTGAAGGCCCCTGAGGTGTGGAAGTGTTGAAGAGTACCCATCAACAACATCAGTAAGGGGCTTCCAGCGGATCGGATCCTGTACAAAGTTGGTTGTTGGCGGCATAATTCAGTAAAACATTCAAGTAGATATTTGCCCAATAGAGTTATTTCTGCTTAAGCAATTACTGAAGTACTTACCTCCCCACCCTCTCCCGAATTTGATTTCCCGCCAATCCTATTCATTGCAATTGCAATGGCTTCATGGGTTTCCCTAGATATAGCTCCAAGAGACATGCCGCCAGTGCAAAATCGCTTCACAATCGACGAAGCAGGTTCAACCCTTCCAACCGGAATAGGGGAACGATTGCTTTTCAGTTCCAGTAGGTCCCGAAGAACCTGTTATTACCATAAATGTTCCAAAACATTTATTTGAATTTAGTTAGGTGTCTCGACCAATAATAATGAAGTAGACATTAGAGCACATAAAATTCATAATATTGGTGGTTCAGGCTGGTTACTTGTATGTTATTAGTTACCGTCACATTAAAAAGAAAAAATTGGATCAACCTGAACTCCTAGACATGCAACTCCAGGATCAAAATTCATAAGTCAGAATATAATCTGAAGAAAAACAGGCGAAGTAACAACTCACGTTTACAGGTCGATTTGCCAAATGCTGCTGATAAACTGAATAAGCACTTCCACTCTTTTGGCGTACAGCTTTATGGAGCAGTTTTGACATCTCTGGATTATTTCCATGATATTCCCCTTACGTTTAAATTTAAATGAATAATGAGACCATGGGCCTTAAGGATTTAGCTTTAATTTAAAACTAGCAAAAACATATTCTCAAGGTTGTCAAAAAAGTTTGTAACAGAAGAAAAGCTTTCAAGTCTCAAACAAAACTTTCTCCCAATGATGTTGGCTTCTATATTAACATAAATAAGGAAAGGTAATATTTGGAACCATGTATGGTATATAGTTCAAAATAGATGCACGTATCATGTGCTGGAGTGTCAAAAAACCCCTACTTTATTTAGTCAAAGGCTAAATGAAAGTCTTGTCAACTGAACTCCTGAGATTGTATTGTCTAGATCACATATAGTCACTCCTCGTATGTAGTAATGAACACAGTACATTTTACTTTAACTGTATACGTAGATACGATAAAACTTCTGAAATATCTTATACCTCCTGGTCTGAACTGTATGAACCCGTAATTTTCAAGTCTTTTTGCAGTATCTTCAGAGAAAGCCTTAACCCAGAATGACAAGGTCTCCCTTGCCAGCTGAAAGAAATAAGGATATCCAAACTCAGGGTCATTAAGTTACAAGTAAACACAAGCAGCAAAGAGACCATGAAATTCGTAGTAGTTTATTAGAAAGCAGAAGCCATTTATTAGTAGTTTCATAGTAGTTTATTAAAAAGGGAATTTCCCCTTATACTTTTAGTCTATCTGCTGCTTCTGCTTTCTAATAAGAATAAAATCTTAGGGAAAATAAGAGTACAAACAATGTGATATTCCAAAATAGGAGTACTATATTTTTCACCTAAATAGGAGTAAATTATTGTCATCTGTCATTTTTTAACATTACCAAGCATTAATATGGCAATATTAATGTCATAATTAGAAGTATTTTCCAAACATTGCAGTAATTACTCCTATTTAGAGAAAAACATAGTACTTCTATTGTGGAATATCTCATTGCGTTTACTCCTACTTTGGGCAATTTCTGAAATATAAAATGGTATAAATGAGCAAGAAGAAAACAAACTGCAACGGTAGATATTTTTAATCAAGCTAGGATTCTTGTAAATGACCAGGAAGGTTCCAAAATATAATAGCAATGTCATTTTATCACACTGACATTATGCAAGACTCCAAACTCCTGTAAGGTTTACACTTCTAGAGGAAAAACTCAGTTATCAAAACACAATTTTACCAATAATCACACATTTAGTAATATAAATGGTAGAATTAAAATTTACCCAACAGGGTTAGGGTTTCTATCTCAGTTTTGGACTTTTAGTACCTCATCCAAAGTCAAGCCGCCAATACTTGATTTGCTCCCACAAAATGCAATATCGACAACATCCTTTCCCAGTCCATATATTTCAAATATTTGTGCTCCACAGTAACTAAAACAGAACATGTTAAGTTAAAAACTTAAAACAGTGATGAAAGAAAACAAGATGAAAGATGCCGATAATAGCAACAATAGTAATATTGCACGGTAATCAGGAGAAAAAACAGCGATGGAGGACACACTACCTCGAAAGCAGTGAAATGCCCATTTTGGAAAGAATCTTGAGAAGCCCGAAATTTATAGCCTGCAATCGTGTTGAACCTTAGGAACAGTATCTCTAGGAGAACTACACAGCTGTCAGCAAGCAGTTCATGTAGGTTGATATTTTTATAGTTGATATTTCCTAGGTGATTATTTTCTAGAAATGGATTATTACTTAACAGCAAGTTACTCTGATGGAACATATATGGTTTGTGTGTGTTATAATGTTATATAATAGAGATGGCATTTTGATAACTTATTTGATTACAACCATGCTCCAATCTTTAACTATTACGTTTGAGTAGAGTTTGTAATGTCATCATTTTCATCATTTTCATTTACCCCAGTGCCGCAAAGGCTCCCACCTACGGTGGGGTAAGGAGGGGTCGGATGTACGCAGTCTTACCCCTGTACTAAAGCACAGAGAGACTGTTTTCGGATGACCCATAGTGAAAATCGCGTCCGAAATTGCATGGACTGACTGCTACTTCATAACAAAGAAGCGCAGACAGCAGACAGTTTAGTGAGCCATTTCGCTTTATTCCATCATATTCTCAAGCCAAAAAATAATGAATCTTTGGCTCCATTGCAAATGATGGAAAATCAATTGGGGGGACAATACTATCTTGCTTCATCTTCCATCATTTGCACTGTCACCATTTAACGCTTTAACCTTCTCTCCTTCAGAACCAATTGAAACATCCTTCCATCAATAAACTCACAGCACTTTTTCCAATCCTTTCAATGTTGTCTACCTTACAGAGTGAATCTTGCTAACATGGCAATCAGTTTGGGGTATCAATGTCGCATTTCCTAATCATGTCAATAAGGGAGCTGACCTCATTCTCATTAGTTCATAGAAATATCCGGGGGCCTAATTGTGTCATTTAATATTTTTATTTTAATGTTTTATAACTTTTATTTATGATTACTATTTGCTACTTAAATATTTTAGTGAAACAGGCAGAATTGTTAAATGTGTTGCAATCATTACTAATACAACAATAACAGGCATATGGTACTTCAGAAGTTTGGACTCATGAGAGAGCAAATGTACAATACTACAATGTACGCTTCCATCTAGGCATCTACTATAAACATCAATGAAACACAGTGTCTGCTTTGTTGTGTATGTTGATGATATTGTTCCAAAATATTGGTTGTGGAAGTGTGTGAATTTGGCTGTGTTAATACTTGTTACTTGCTAGTGTGTACTTCGTATCTTTTGATGATTTGTTGTGTTTTTTTAATTTCCCTTTACTACCATCCAATTAAAATTCAAAGCAGAAATAGAAACACATTAATTTAAGTACATGTTTTTTGGAGTTACTGAAGAAATAAAGTAAAATAATCAGATTTTATGGCACCAAACGGACTGATGTGTGGGTTGGAGCCATTTAAGTAGCCTAGGAATCATTGTGCTAAATGCCTGTATTACAAACTATTGAAACAAAAGAAAATTAATAAATGGACAAATGCATGTCTGCAATTCCAGAAAATGACAGGAATCCCAACAAAAAGACAATGTCTTACGCAAATGCATTCCTCATTCAGATACAGACCTTACAGAAATTCTTTTGAGCTTGTTCAATAGTAACAGTGGGCATCTTCCCGTTACGCATCAGGTTCATAGTTTTGTTGCTCAAGCGCCACTGACGACATGTCTCCAATGCCAAGTATGGGCATATGGCACTGGAACAAACAAACAAAAAGTGTCTCAACTAATGATCTTAGTATTTATTAATTAAGAAGGGACCCCCAATCTTACACATTAGGGCTCAAAATAGAGAAGAAGTAAATGTGAAGTTTTTACAGACACATACACACACATCCTCTTCCCGTGTCCATCTTTCAAGGCTTCCCAGAATAAGTGAAAATTCAAATACAGAGAAAAGTGACAATGTTTACACTTTACACTACAAAACAAAGTGAAATTCTTTATGCATTGATGGTTTTCTCAACACAAATTCTCTATGCATAGTGGATATGTCTCATGAGTCATGACATAAGAGAAAAAAGAACAAATGAGTGCTCAGGTAAATATCTTTAATTAAAAGGACTTAGTTTTTCAAAGCAGTGGGGATGAAGATTAGATGTGAGATATATGGACATAACCTTGCACCATATCCTATCAAGCAAGCGAACTGATGAGTACTGAAGCACTGAGCAGTATCAACAACAATAGAAGCAGACATACGCAGGCCATTGTGAATCAAGTGCTGGTGAACTGCACCTACAGCAAGAAGTATTGGAATTGCAGGCCGTGCAGCTACCTGGCAGGACAGACAATAAGTCAGACAGTCACACAAATATTAATTGGAGCAGATATATTTACATCTCCCAGAGGAAGTTGTGGTTCAGATATCATATGTTAAGCTGTACTACTTCAACAATCTAACACATAGGGTATCTTGCATTATGATACAACCATAGAAAAAAAGAGCACACCATAGAACTAACAGTCCGGATGAAAAGCTTACCAGCTCATCATCCCTGTCAGAGAGAACAAGCAATTGAGAACCATTTCTAACAGCTTGATCTGCTGCTTCACAAAGTCTGTACAGTGCCTTTTCCAAGGAACCATATACTCCTTTTCCAACATTAAAAAACGCGGGTAATATTTGAGGCTTCAAGAGTGGATCTTTCAAAAGTGATTCTAACTCTCCTTCATTAAGCACAGGACATGACAAATTAACCTGAATGTGAATGCAAATAGTTCCTATTTAAGAAATTGGAGAACAGCAAAGACATAAGTAGTCTCTCTCAAAAGTAAGAGATAAAGAAAATGTAATCTAACCTGAGAGGCATTTTCAGGCCCAACCTCTTGTATATTTCCTCGCTTCCCAAGATGGACTTCAAGAGACATAACTAATCCCTCTCTAAGGGGATCAATTGCGGGATTCGTGACCTAAAATATGTGAAAAGAATGGCCCATGCAAAAATCAAACCAGATGTAACAGATTATGTGTGTGAAAGACATTAGAATATACTTTAGAATATACTTTAGAATATTCTTCTATCCTTAGAATATACTTTAGAATATTTTAGGAATATACTCTAGGATATTATTATTGTATAGAATCTTATAGGAATATTCTATCTTTGTAATCTATATTTATAGGGACTTAACCCTCCAATGAAATACACAGAAAATCCTTTCCTCTCCAATATTATTTCTTAGTTAATATGCTCTATTTTAACATGGTATCAGAGCCTTTCATTTCAATTTAGTTTTTCAGATTTCAATTTAGTTTTTCACACTCGGTTCTTTCTCAAAGAACTTGAGTTCAGTTCAGAACCACTTGAGTTCAGTTCAGAACCTCTGTGCACCATTCTGTCTACAAGAAACTCAACCCAGTCAGAACCTCTTTACACAGAATCTCTATTCAGAAGCTTAGTACAATCTCAGAACCTCCGATTATTCCCAGAACCTCTTCCCAGAAGCTTTTGCCAGAACCTTCGATCTCAGAAGCAACTGGGTATCCGACAAGCCTGTTCAACCTCCCTCATCCTCTGGTTCTCCTGCCACTGTCGACCGAACACCCAAAGTCCGCACTCCAAAATCATTGCGCGTGAGTGACACGCGCCGCCGGAAGATTCCGCAGCCAACTCACGCACCGGCGCGTGACGCCGTGTTTCTGGCCGGAATCTGATCGGAACTCTTCGTCTGAAACTCGCCTGAAAGTACTCTGCCAGGTATACTTTACTTCTCTCGTTCTTTGTCCAGCAAGGGACGGGATCTGTGGGCCGGAGGAAGCTTCGTGGTTGGTCGCTAGTGTCTGGCATCGGATACTGTGGACGCCCCAGGTGGGTTGGTCGCTGCCTCGCTGGTGTCTAGCATCGGATATGTGTGGACACCCCTTGAACTGCTACCGATATGTCAGCGCATCAATTTTAAAAGTTGAGTAAGTTTTTTTTTCCTCCAAATTTTCTTCTCCAAATTTTGAGCCCACAAACGGGGAAAGGCTGCTGTAGCTTATGGCAGTATCTCAATTTTGAACTTACTACTGCAAAAAAAAAAAAAAAAAAAAATCAAAAATAAAAAAAAAAAGAATGTTTTGTACCACTCAGTTTGGCAGAGAAATAAGATGCAATTACTGCAAGAAGCCTGGACACTTGCTCAAAGAATGTAGAAAGTTGCTGTTCAAAAATCAAGGAAATCAGCTTGCTCATGTTGCTTCCGCTACGAGTTCATTTGATGGATCAATTGCTATTTCTTCAGACGAGTATGCTAAATTTATTTGCTACCAAGAATCTCTAAAGCATTCATCTACCCCTATCTCGGTAGTCGCAAATTCAGGTATTTCAAACACATGTCTTGTTTCATCATCCTCAAAATGGGTCATTGACTCAGGTGCCACAGATCATATGACTGGTAATCCTAGTCTATTCTCATCATTTCACTCACATTTACCTGCTTCCAGTGTCACTTTAGCAGACGGGTCTACCTCACCCGTTCTTGGATCTGGTACTGTTGTACCAACTTCTACATTACCATTATCGTCTGTTTTGAGTCTTCCTAATTTTGCATTTAATCTGCTTTCCATCAGTAAAATCACACGTACTCTTAATTGTTCTGTAACATTTTTTCCGGGATATTGTGTGTTTCAGGATCTGTTAACGAAGCATACTATTGGTCAAGGACATGAGTCGGGTGGTCTTTATATTTTGGATACATCAATTACAAAAGGTATCTCTTGCCTTGGGGTTGGAAATCTATTAGAAGCTCATTACCGATTAGGACATCCATCTCTCTCACTAATGAAGCAATTATATCCTCAGTTTAATAAAGTGTCTTCTATACAATGTGAGTCGTGTGAGTTTGCTAAACATCATCGCACTAGTTTAAGTCCCCGACTTAATAAACGAGCAAATGCTCCGTTTGATCTTGTCCATACTGATGTTTGGGGGGCATGTCCAGTTGTGTCCAAACCTGGTTTCAAATATTTTGTCACTTTTGTTGACGATTATTCTCGTATGACATGGGTGTATTTTATGAAGCGCCGATCCGAGTTATTTACTCATTTCTCTGCATTTTGTGCTGAAATTAAAACTCAATTTAATGTTCCTGTTCGTGTGTTAAGGGGAGACAATGCCCAAGAATATTTATCTGCTCCATTTAAATCTTTTATGCTTCAACATGGCATTATTCATCAAACTTCATGCGTAGACACACCTCCTCAAAATGGAGTTGCTGAAAGAAAGAATCGACATCTGTTAGAAACTGCAAGGGCTCTTCTATTCCAAATGAATGTGCCTAAACAGTTTTGGGCTGACGCTGTGTCTACTTCATGTTTTTTGATCAATCGTATGCCATCTTCTGTTTTGGATGGTAAAACTCCTTATCAATGTCTTTTTCCAAATAAAGAACTTTTTCCTATTCCACCTAAAATATTTGGTTGCACTTGTTTTGTTAGAGATGTTAACCCTCATCGGACGAAATTGGACCCCAAGTCATTGAAATGTATTTTCTTGGGTTATTCTCGAGTTCAAAAGGGGTATAGATGTTTTTGTCCAAGTACAGGTCGATATCTTATTTCTATTGATGTCTCATTTCATGAAAATACACCATTTTCATCATCCAAGACAGATATTCATGAGGACAACGATGAAATACTCATTTACACAGTTACTATACCTGAGACCACACCTTCAGTAACTATGTCGAATGTCACTGTTCCTGACCCTAGACCTCCTGTACACTTGGTTTACACCCGTCGACACAAAGCACAAGATCACTCCCCACCTGTGACACCTGTGATTACATATCCTGATACTGGTCCGACTTCGATCTCATGTCCTGAACCAGTACCTGCATCTTCAGATCTTGTCTCTACATCTGATCTTGACCTCCCGATAGCACTACGTAAAGGTACACGGTCTTGTACTCATCCTATTTCCTCATTTGTGTCATACAGTCAGTTATCTCCTGCCTCATGTTCTTTTGTTGCTTCCATTGATTCTATTTCTGTTCCCAAATCTGTTAAAGAAGCTTTGTCTCATCCTGAATGGCGTCATGCCATGGTAGAGGAAATGAATGCTTTGGATCTTAATGGTACATGGGATTTGGTATACTTGCCTTCAGGGAAGAAGTCTATTGGATGTAAGTGGGTCTTTGCTGTTAAGGTTAATCCAGATGGATCTGTTGCTCGATTGAAAGCTCGATTGGTTGCAAAGGGTTATGCTCAAACCTATGGTGTTGATTATTCTGACACTTTTTCTCCTGTTGCTAAATTAACATCTGTCAGGTTACTTATCTCACTCGCTGCAACTCATGATTGGCACTTACACCAGTTGGACATTAAAAATGCATTCTTACATGGTGACCTTCAGGAGGAAGTTTATATGGAGCAACCTCCGGGATTTGTTGCTCAGGGGGAGTATGGGAAAGTTTGTCGACTTCGCAAATCTCTTTATGGTCTGAAACAGAGTCCTCGTGCATGGTTTGGGAAATTCAGTCAATCCATTGAACGGTTTGGAATGATAAAAGGTCAATCAGATCACTCTGTCTTTTACAGAAAAACGAAAGCAGGTATCACATTGCTTGTGGTGTATGTCGATGATATTGTGATTACAGGAAGTGATACCGCAGGTATTTTGGCCCTTAAGAATTTTCTTCATAGCCAATTCCAAACAAAAGACCTAGGCTCATTGAAATACTTTCTGGGTATTGAGGTAACACGGAGTAAGAAAGGCATATTTCTATCTCAGCGTAAATATGTACTTGATTTACTAACTGAAACAGGGAAATTGGGAGCAAAGCCAAACACAACTCCCATGGTTCCCAATGTGCAACTCACTTCAGAAGGCATACCATTCGAAGACCCAGAAAGGTACAGAAGATTGGTTGGAAAGCTTAACTATCTCGCAGTCACTCGTCCAGACATTGCTTACTCTGTGAGCGTAGTGAGTCAATATATGTCATCTCCGACAGTTGATCATTGGAATGCAGTAGAGCATATATTATGTTACTTGAAGGGGACACCAAGACGAGGTATTGTTTACCAAAATCATGATCACATGAGAATAGAATGCTTTGCAGATGCTGATTGGGCTGGATCTAAAGATGATAGGAGATCCACATCTGGCTATTGCGTCTTTGTTGGTGGTAATCTCGTCTCTTGGAAAAGTAAGAAGCAAAATGTGGTTTCTCGTTCGAGTGCTGAATCAGAATATCGGGCTATGGCACAATCGGCATGTGAGATAATCTGGATAAACCATTTGCTGAGTGAAATCGGATTGAAGACACCAATGCCTGCTAAACTCTGGTGTGATAACCAAGCTGCTATACACATTGCCAACAACCCAGTGTTTCATGAGAGAACAAAACATATTGAGGTCGATTGTCACTTTGTTCGAGAAAAGATACAACAAGGATTGATCTCTACAGGATATGTGAAGACTGGAGAGCAACTTGGAGATTTGTTCACTAAAGCATTAAATGGAATTCGTGTTGGTTATTTATGTAACAAGTTGGGCATGATAAATATCTATGCTCCAACTTGAGGGGGAGTGTGAAAGACATTAGAATATACTTTAGAATATACTTTAGAATATTCTTCTATCCTTAGAATATACTTTAGAATATTTTAGGAATATACTCTAGGATATTATTATTGTATAGAATCTTATAGGAATATTCTATCTTTGTAATCTATATTTATAGGGACTTAACCCTCCAATGAAATACACAGAAAATCCTTTCCTCTCCAATATTATTTCTTAGTTAATATGCTCTATTTTAACAATGTGCATAAATAAGGTTTTAGGAAGTTGATCTAAATATCTAATGCAGTATTCTTAAAGCAAGGTGCAAAGGAGACTTAGAGTAATATGTGATGGCGAAAGTAACTTCAAAAAACAGGGGAACAGAAGGAAAAGTCAACCAGATTTCACTATATGCATGTTTCACAAGTAAGGTTACCAATTAGCTATCTTTTGCAGTAGTGTCTGTATCTTTCATGATGCTTGATCCTGATTATATCCATAATAAGTATGCATACCTGAGCAAACCTCTGCTTGAAATAATCAAATAGCATATGAGGCTTGGAAGATAACACAGCCAAAGGTATATCATCTCCCATGCAAAATGTAGATTCCTTCCCTTGTGCAGCCATAGTCTCAATAACCATTTGAACATCCTCACTAGAATACCCATATGCCCTGTTTTCTCAGAAGAACAAGAGCAAGTTAAATGAAAATGATAGATGTCACAACAACCCTACCCAGGACAATTTGGGTTTAATTAAGACTCTTTATTACTCATAGTTGGCCATTATTTGGAATTATAAAGGGCAACCCAGTACACATTGGTGTCCCTGCAAGGCGAGGGTCCAAGGAAGGGTCCCACCACAAAGGTGTATAAGGAGCAAGCCTTCCTTTGTCATTTTTTACAAGAGCCCGCTCCCAAGACTTGAACTTGTCATTCTTGGTTATTGTACTTTATTTGGACTTGGTTGTATTTAATTCAATGGTGGATATTCTCATAATATAAAGGTGTATGGGCTACAACTTAAATACTCAATACAACCAAAAAAGTTCCAAATAGAAGTCCTGGGAGTTTTGGTTTAACAAAACCAAAACCAATCACAAATATCATATACATTCATTTCAATTGTGAAGTAACACAGGAGAAACTCTTCCAGTTCTCAATTGTTGGTTCAGCACATAATAAAATATAGATTAGATAATGATGACCCAATTTGATATTTCAAAAATAAGATTAGAAGAAGATACTCACTGCTGATGCCTTAGAATTGTTTCAGGGTCCATAACCACATTTGGAAGGAAGTTTACATGCTTCAATGATCGTAAGTTTTCCTTGACCCACTTTCCATAAGGATTTGATAGTGCAACTCGTTTTTTGACTTCGGTGTTTTCAAGTACCTGTTTCAATCAGAGCCTCAAAAAGTGTCATGAGGGAAACAAGAAATTCAAGGTCATTAAAGGTAAGGCAAAAAAACTTTTTCACAGAGTGGAATGGACTAATTTGGTTAGGTTATTACAGATAATAGGATTACTATCTTCTCCCCACAATCTAAGTGAGGACATCAATTTCCGCATAGTGATCTAACAAACAACACTATTATTTACTTGAATAAAATGAAAGCCCCTACTTATAGAGCTAAACCTTAGTAAAGTACTACATCATTCTAAAGATTGGATCATTAACAAACCTGACCACTTTGAAGATCAACGGTTATCATCATTCCAGGACCTAGACGCCCTTTCATTGTTATCTTGGATTCATCCATTGGCAAAACACCAACCTAGTTAAAATGAAAACACTGTTAGCATGTTTTAGATATCAAACTATCTTAAGTTATGTACAGGGATTCTTCTCATCACTAAAATGAGTTAAAAGGATAAATGGAAGGGGCAGTGGAATTTTAGGGAGATCTCCTTCTCCTTGGGAATTTGGGAGGTTTTCTCCTTGATCTCTGCAATTCTTTCGTAGATATATTAGATATTTTATTAGCAAGGCAGTGCTCACTAAACTTATAGGGATTACACACACAGGAATGCCTAAAACAAGGAAAGGAAGAAACCCAAACAAATCACTTCCTAAAAGAAACTACCTAATGAAGGTATTAAACTGTTAGCATGAAATTAAAGTAACGACAATCAGGGAAATCAATCAGCAATCATTTGCTTGGCTGCTCTTTTATCTTTCCATAATCTAGTAATGTAGCACGCATCATCTTGCAATTTCTGGGATAGTTCATTACTTCAATTTGAAAGAGTTGATTTTAAGAAGGAAATGAGCATACCTCAGATGCAACGTAGACAACATTGTCTATTGTCCTCCAGTATCTGGCAGGGCGAAGTCCATTACGATCAAGACAAGCTCCGACTGTTTTTCCATCACTTAAGTGTAGGAAACAAAGGAGAAAAAGGAGGTGAGCATTTGAGCGGGGTCATTGCTCTAGTGTGTCTAGAGGTATACAAACCGAGCAATTTTAAGGCACATTTAGTGATTGGGTAATTATATTTTATTGTGGGGGGATTCCAAACGAACTATGAGTTCAGAAGCACTGTGTAATGTTCTCCAAGTCTAAAGAGTCTAAAGACATTTAAAATTCAGAACAAGAAAGTAAAATGAACTAAAAGCACAACTAAATAAAATTCAGATAATGTTTGAAAATGAGAAAGTGGTTTTAGTAAGAAATTAATATATCAACTTTTACCAAATTGAACAACTATGGCCCATGAACGGAATATTCGTTGGAGTAGTGAATTTACCTTATAGACAAGATATTAATAATTTTCCATTAATTTATCGCATCTCTGTGCATTAGCGTATTTATATGATTGGTCATGTTATTCTCTAATTTCATTTGACAAGTTACAGAAAAAATCAAACACTTAGCTAATAAATTGGCAAGATAATTAACTAATTAGGTTCAACATTTCAAACAACTAGTCGGTGGCCGGCCGCCCTTTTAACCGTCTTTGGCCTGATCATTTCATCAGTCACGTGTGAATAATTTAACACAGAAGAGACCCAAACCAAAAGAGAGGGGGATGCCCTCTTCAATGCCTGCTGCAAAAAAATTTCTTATAAAAGGCAGAGTTCTCTGCACTTCATAGCATCATCCCAGAATTACTCCAAAACCGTTCTTCAATTATTCTGAGCAGCCATTTTTGCATCTTGTGCGGAAGCTTCAATCATTTCCTTTTTAGCTCCAAACTGTAACTTATACATTTGTATGTGTGTATTTTACTCCTTTCAATGTGTAGAATAATAATATAGTGCTTTTACTTGCGACATGTTACTCAAAGTTCTCATTTTTGCAGAAAAAATGACAATCTACAATGTTACAATAAAGCAATTTATGTATGCCCATGTTAAATATATCATCTAAATTGAAAATTTTAGTTGTGAATTCTTCTAGTTGTGTTATTGGGGGCTAAAATTAGAGACTTTGAAATCTATTGCACTTTAGTTAAACTTATTTTCATGTTCTAAATTGTAATTTATGTACTTAAAGGAAAAGGGAAGCCTGGTGCAAATTTATATTTCTGGCATTTAAATTTAAATTATAAATTAATTAGTTGCAATCAATCAAATTATCACATTGGATAAATTTCCAATAATTAGCGATGAACTTTGACTAATTAAAAATAAAGATACTCTTTGCTATTCCTCAGCGATGCTCAGGGAAAAACTCTTCCTACCGGGAAATTGTTCTATATATCAAAATAGGTGAAAAAGTGAAGTAGCATTCAGATATATTACCTAAATAAGAGTAAGGCAGGCCCATCCCAAGCTTCCATTTGACCCTTGTAGTAATCATAAAAACTGACCACCTACAAGAATAAAAAAAACCACAGAAAAGAGCTAACTGGCATTCAATACCCTGGTACAACATGCTAACTTGTCTCAAAGCAGTTGTACCTCAGGATATTTGATAGTTAAAGTCGGATGATTCTGGTATGCCTCAGGAACAAGAATCATCAGAGCTTCATCAGGAGTGCGCCCACTCCTTATTAACAACTGAAGATGCAACAATGGAAAAACTAATATAAGTGGCAGAAACAAGATCACAGCATGGGATGATAAGAAGACATTTCAAAATCAAACTAAACAGGTCACTACGTAAGCTTATACGTAGTACATACAAACGAACAAAAAATGTAGGAAAAACGGTCAGATTAATTTAAAAAAAAAAATATCTTTTTCTATTTTGTTAATCAGTATTATGCATGACAATGTGATGATTTCCAGTAAACAAGCAAATGAATGCCATAACTTGAGATAATATGGAATTTACTTCGGCTGCACTGTCAAGATTAGCGGAGTCAGAGGCTTTTGAGTTTCCAAAAGGACGAAGGTCATTTTCACGACCACGCCAAACAGGAGACTTTAAAGATGTCTCTCTAGACCGCATCCAGTTCAAATTACCCTGCATTTTTATTTTATTTCAATTACTGTTTCACTGAAATGTTAAGAAAGGCAATCAACAAAACATATACTCTCTCTGTCCCATAAAACTTGGCCGAATTTCCTTTTTTGGCTGTCCCATAAAACTTGGCCAAATTTCCTTTTTTGGCTGTCCCAAAAAACTTTGCCATTTCCATTTAAAGTAAGGAATATGTGGCTAAAGCTATTTCTCTCTCCTCTGCACGAATTTCAACCACACAATTTTTACTTTATTAATCTATGTGCAAGTCAACTTTGGCCAAGTTTTGTGGGACGGAGGGAGTAAATCATTGATAACGCAATAATGAAGGAAATAAGCAAATAAGAGAAACTGGTGTAACCTGTATTGTGTTGATCTCTCCATTGTGACCCAAAAACCTCATTGGTTGAGCAAGTGGCCACCTGGGACTAGTGTTTGTACTGTATCTCCTGTGATAAATAGCAAAAGGAGATTTATAAAGATCATTTTGCAGGTCATTGTAAAATCTCCCAAGAACCTCTGACCGAAGCATTCCCTTATATACAATTGTTTTGTTGGACAATGAGCAGAAATAGAGTTCATTTCCCCAGGTTCCTGAATTAGCTGTGGCTGCTCGTTCAATTAATTTACGACATATATACAGTTCCCTTTCAATGTCATCGGCATTTTCTTCTTTCACAATTCTAACAAAAACTTGTTGTATGTTGGGCATCGTTTCTCTTGCATAATATCCAACTATATCAGTTTCCACCGGAACAGACCTCCACCCAAGCACTTCAAGGCCTTCCTCGTTAAAAACACTTGAGATAACTAGAAAAGTAAAAGCAAAACAAAGAAACATTCAGAGGAAGAAGTCACAAGTTCGAGCAAAGTATTATTTTTTTTTCTTAAGTGCTTCTTGGAGTAGATAAAACACAATTTGCCTCGTATCTTCTTAGGCCAAACAAGCACTTGTATCTATTGGCCTCTTGCCCCTGATCTACTCCAAGAAGTCACAAGTCGAGCAAAGTATTATTTTTTAATTTTAATTGCTTCTTGAAGTCCCCAATTTTAGTCTTACAAAAGCTCTTTTTGGGAATAGTGACTTTTAGGCCATGTTTGGCACACAAAAGCCTCTGCCTTCTAGCTTCTCTTTTCTTTAAAAAGACCTTAAAAGACTCTAGTTGTATGTTTGACATGACATATTTTAAGAGCTTTTCAAAAATTAAAAGATCTTTTTTGAGATGCTACCGAGTGTAGCATCTGAGAAAGGCTCGTGACTTTTAGTATTAATTAGTCCTAACAGCTTGTATACCAAACCGAACTAAATCAAACAGTCATCTTTTTAACAAACAGCTATCACCTTTTCTTTTTAAGATCTTTTCAGTCACTAAAAGCTAATAGTTACTAAAAAGCTCACAAAAGTATCTTTTCATCTAGTTGTGCCAAACATACCCTTAATGAAGATTTAATATTTTAGTTTAGCTTCATTCATTAGAAAAAGTTAGAAGAAAATATTTTGAAAAGGGCATCTTATTAGTGCTTTTAAGAATAGATCTTTTTGCCTCTTATCTTCTTAGGCCAAACAAGCGCATGATGTCGAGCTAAGACGCAATTTCCTTTCTTATTCACATTATGATAGGTTTTTTGGTTATGCCTGCTGAAATGAAAATCATATTTGTTTTAGATATGCAGAAGGTTCCTTTGATGTGCCTTTGTCAATGATCATATATGCTTGGTAAACAAGCCCGCACTGATTATATAAGCAACGGTAGGCAAGAACTAAAAAGTACTAACAGAGTAACAAATGAACTATTACAAAATGATTTTAGGAGATTAATATCTACACTATGGTGAATCTCACTTCAAAATCATGACTCTCATTTTTAAAAAATAAGTCTTCTGGAGCTTTCGTATTAAAGATGACTTTCAGCCATTTAGTTATGTAAACCATACAGAAGCAACAAGTACCTTAGGCAGTATGCTGCTGCATTGGAGCCCCTTTCTAATCTTAAAGGATATAGGAAGCATATGGTGAGCTAAACTATCTTAGAATCACATGACCAGATTTTTCATTTGTTGACTGTGTCATTGTGCTAAGTGAGTTCCTAAAGATTCCATGTAACAGTCATTTGAAGGCCACTATCTATATTTCAAGATGTATCAAGAAAGCTCTGGCACAAGGAATACTTTATTACGAGGATAAAATTCATACTATGATTATTGGATACATGTCAAAGTTCAATTCTTTCCCAGTTCATTGCACAACCTGATAAGAAGATGAAGCAGTAGGATTTTTTTGATCTATGAAGAATTTTAGATCTGTGCAAGACAGATACCCCTGGGATAAACAACTATCCTTTGGTTAAAATTAATTCGGTGTCTGACCTTGTCAAGACACACACAAATTAATTCTTCCCAAGATATCTTTATTTCATATAACAAAGGCCCTTATATAGGCTGCATAAGAGTTCTGAAATTAAAAAAAGACCACATAGAAAGAGTCCTGAAATAATTCAGAGACAAAAAAGATACTGATAAGACAATAAACCCATCACATCAAATAATCTGATAATAGCCCAGTTGTCCAATTCATTGATTGCCAGCTCCCAGACTTGCAATGCAGCTTCCTCAACCACTTTGCTGGCTAGCACATGTTGTATTTAGTTTTTCCCGCACCTCATTTAAGCCTTGATTACTTTTACGATGCCACTGATATGTATGTCCTAGAAAGGCATCCACAACACAAACTTGGTGCATATGGCATGTAAGCTCCCGCTTAAGGGAATGTTTTGAGTTATGTAACACTAAACCGAACATTAACTGTAGTGAATTCCAGCACAATGGGATAAACATGTTTGTTCACATAAGTTGACATGTGACACTAGTTAGAGTTTAGCAAATGACCATACAGTATGACCATAACAATGTAGTAGTACTGTAGTAATCTACATCACTAACTTATTCATTGACCTTGATTAGCAAAACTTTACGCTTGTAGCAAGTTGCAACTCGACTTAACCCTCCCACATTGTAGAGGTCAAGTTTGGCAACTAGGTCAGTTCCTTATCTCAGTATCAAATCTAAGATAAGTCTCACATCAGGCATTCTATGAGTGTGGGTCTGGTAACAAATTATAACATGTACAGAACAAAATGGTCCGTAATAATCTATAGCTAACCTGCTTTTGCTGCATTCAACATGTCATCATCCTTAGGAAGGAAAATCATTCCCACACCAGTATGCAACTTGTCAAAGGTTGACATTCCATGTGTTTCAGCCCACTTATCAAAAAGGCCCCAAGGGATTGAAGTCATCACTCCAGACCCATCACCAGAAACATTATCTGCTCCACAACCTCCACGATGTTCCATGCAGCCAAGAGCTACTAGAGCATCTTTAACAACCTCATGTGATCCTTTATTATCTAAGTTAGCAATAAAGCCAACACCACATGCCCCTCTTTCAGATATGATGTCATCCAAAGATGCAACCTGGAAGTAGGAAAACAAGCCATGGATGTGTAAGAGAAGCTTGTAAAAAATCAAAAAGATGAGATTCTTACGAGTAAATAAACTTAAAAATTAACATGAAATTTCACAGAACAATAAAACACTTTTTCGTACATTGTTTTGCCTAGAACTTATGCAAAATGATACACTTTGCCACAAGCATACACTTCCTCTCAAAAACAATCATGCTTCACGAGTTTTTTTGTCTCCAAAGGGAAGTCTTAGGTCACAAACGCAACTAATTTTTCATTTAACTGTCCAGGCACAATAAACATTACATATAAGCTCAATATGATAAATATTAAAATGCAAAAAGTGTTCCACGATTTTTAAGAGTTGTAGTATCCCAAAATTAAAAAGTTATCCATTGGCCCATTGAGCTAATATGACTTTTTATATGGTAAGGAGGGAGTAATAACTTAAATATGTCTTCTGGAAATACAAAAAAAAAATATCATATAAGTATATTATAAGTCTAAAAGAAATAAACTAATAAGTCACTAATACTGAAAAGAGGTTATTGGAAGTTCAAATTTCATCATATATATAAAGAAGAATCTCATTTTTGTCGAAACAATAGTATACCAACTCATGATATAACAGTAATTCTGAATGTGGGTATGCAATTATGCACATGTCATGCGCTCATGTAGTAATATTCTACGTAACATATTACTATATGTAGTAAATTAGTGATCTATTTGAATTTTAATATTTCCGTGAAAATAATGAATTCTGTATGGTTATTTTTGCGACGTTGGCAGAAATTTCCAAAAATATATGAATATTACCATGGTATTTTGATATTTTTGGCCACAAATACAGATATGTATATGAAAATGTATGAAAACATCCTTGATATTTGGTAAGAAGTCCCCCCTCCACATCGGTATTGTCAATGTACAAGAATATACACTGATATTCCCAGATTTCAAGCAATGTGCAGAGCTAAATTTGCTAGTATGCTCTTACAGAAAGTTGTTGGATGAGAGTAAGACTTTGGAGATAGTGAAGTGGAGGGAGAATATATGTGCAAAGGATTGATCTCTTTGTATCCTTTTTAACTTCAATTTCATATGCCGATACTTGTTAGGCGACTCCAAACTCTTTTGGAACTCAGGCTTGGATGTTGTTGGTGTTGTTGCTCTGAGAGAAAGCCAAGCTCTACCCATTCAATATAGCCTCAAGAGTATGTGACTTCGGAGAAGGATAAATATATTCAGAAAAAATTAGACATCACTGCTAAAAAAATTAAGCACTTCACTGTGTCTCTCAAAAGGGGAAAGGTTTGAAGAAGTAAATCATGATTGGAGGGACACAGAATGGCTAAACAAAATATGAGAGATAACATATAGTGGGTATGCCATGTAACCATGTTATAAACTTATAACCAGCCAATCCGAACAGCGATAGGGTGAAATCTATATGAAGTAGCTAGGCATTGTTGCAGAGTTGCAGTTGTCACGGAGAAAAATCCTTAGTATCTAGAGAAGATGACTAAGTCAATAAATGGAGGAAATAAATCCTTGAAAAGCATTATCATAGATTAAATATAACACTGCAGCCAATGGTCATATTTTAATATATACATCAGGCATGATTGGCAACATATTGGCCTGATTGTTTTCTAACTTACATCCATTCTTTCAAATAATGGAGCAGTGTAAAGTTCAGGCAAAGAGGATCAGATGAATTAGAAAACAATTCTCCTTGGAGTTGAAAATGGCGCAATACAACGTCTAGAAGAGTGTATTATACTCCTTACGTAACATAATGGAAGAAACGTAACTAAGCTGTCACTTATAACAAAACTATCAACTACATACAATCTAAAGAAATTCCGGTCTTGCTAAGGTGATGTTGGGGACAAAAGAAATACAGTACAGGCATGTTTGTGTATTTTGTGGGGATTTTTAAGATAAAAAAGAAACCAGCTGGAGTGATGGAGATGTGGAGTCGGCGGTTCTTTTTAAATAGCATCAGACAACAAAAAGTACTCAATACACTTTCCATTAGTTTATTTACTCAGCAGCTATTCTGGGTTTTGACATAAAAATCAGCCATCAAAACTATTTTATTTCTAGCTCCGTGTCCAAAGCTACATGCATAGAAGCATATTTACTCTTCATTTTAGGTAGAAGGGACGGTCCATGCACAGAACCCCTTTGCACATCCCATAAGCAAGAAGAGGAACGTCATGGGGAGTCAGAGTCTCAAAGTATCCACAATGGAACTGGACGTGTACCTTTAAGCTCATCGCCTGCAAGACTTATAAATAATTCAAGCATTCCCTTCTAAGTTCCCTAGCTTTAAGCATCATGTGCATCATTCAAATGTCAGCAGCTGCCTCGTGTCATCATAAGTAGTAACCTTTCATATGATTGCCTGTTTTTAACTTCTTTGAGATTATAACATGATTACATGACATCCTAATATTGAACTTTTCTTCTTCATATGTAATAGTGTATCCTTTTTGAAGCACTTCATGGAATGCAAGATTAACTATCTAATAAGATTATAATGAAGTCCCATCGCCTTCATTCGTTGAAATTTTGGATGTGGTGATAGGAAAGACTCTTAGAAGAGTAACCTTGTCCATTTTCAAGTGAAGTTTAAAGAATGAAACACTAAAATCAAGTCACATTTATAACCATGCTGGTGACATAAGCAATGTGCAATTGGTGTACATTGGCATACTAAGCTAATGGATGCTATAACTATTACCATTTCGCTTTCTCTTATAATTCAAACTAAATGATGTTGCCACACTTAATGGATAGCAGACTAGCAGCAGCTCATTCATAGTTTGGAACATCTGAAACAAGCATCGAGAATTTCCACTAGGGTGAGTGAACATTTTCAAAGTCTTTCCCGCTCAATGGAGCAGTCTATAAAAATCTATATGCACGTGCTCTGCTGAACTACAACAGATTCTACTATAACAACGTCTTCAGGCTATCCGTGTAAGCTATATTGCCCAGCTTCAGAAGCAAAGAGTAAAAGATTATTGGTTATATATATAATCTAATACAATCATGTCCTGCTGTGTAAGAAACACTGAAATAGAAGTTCTACAAATTAAAACAATGCAACAGACAGGCATCGCAATTATTCTCAAAAAACGGCGAGTGTAATAAAAAATAATAAGGCTATCGTCGTAACACCGCCATAAATTCAAGCACACCTTCGGTGCGATGTCGGCGGATTGCTGCGTAGAAGCATTTGCTTTGACGCGCTCGCTTTCCGAATGGAGAACTGCCTGAATCGAGTTCCAGTTCCTCGTCACCAAACTCCGCGGCACTTTCCGGTCAGTCCACATAGCCGCTCCAGCTCGCCGGCGACTCCGTTGGCTAGATTTTCCGCATATGTCAACGAAAACCAGTCCTCCTCTGTCTTTGTTTCCAGCAACTTGTCCATTTCCGTACAACAGTTGCGAATGAGCATTCGTGACAGAGTTTACTGGCATCGCTCGTCAGCTCAAACTCAACAGAAATGAATGTAAATATAGAACTACAGAAGTGTAGAGAGAGTGATGTGATAGATGATACTACTCTTGCTATTGTTATGATAATAAACGCATAAGAGGCTGGGAGTTGGGAGCTAGCCGCCACAGGAGTTTCTTTGATTCGCTCGTATCAGTTTGTGTGAGGGAGCAAATGATTATTTGTTATGAGAACATCATCCCCTCCTTTTAACGATCAGGTTCAATTTTCACAAAACAGGTTGGGGGCTTTTTCGTGTGTCGGCGCGTCACCAAAATTCCACTACTTTACACTTGCTTTCAAATTTTAATGTGAGAAATAATGAAATGATTTATATATTTTTATGATAAAATGATATACCCAAGTATTAATTATATATTTTAATTCAAATAAGAATAAGTCTTAGGGTGTGTTTGCAACCGCTTCTGCTTTTAAAAAAGTGTTTTTTTTAATGAAATGGAGAGAAGTGATTAAATAAAAGTTGATAGTGTTTGAGAAAAAAGTGATTTTGAAAAGCAAAAGTGGGTAGTGTTTGGTAAAATAAGTGCTTTTTGTGTAATAGAAAAAGTAAAAGCACTTTTGACGCGGAAGCCGAGAAAAATAAAAGTTGTAGTGTTTGGGAAAATAAGTGCTTTTTTAAAGCCAAAAGCTGAGAAGTGCTTTTTTAAAAGGAGTTGCAAACCAACCCTTAATATCAAAATGAAAACAAATTCAAACCATCCAAATAACAAATTGTGTTGAAATGATCGATATTAAACAAGGGCAAATTTGTTACATTCTTTTTGGCATTTTTGTAATTGACATTTGCACTTAATATGTGCATTTCAGTTAGAAAAGGAACGAGTTCGTTTCATATCCTTTGAAATATTATAGTTTGTTTTACATTTTAATTATATTCTTCATTTATAAAAAAAAAATGTATTTTGAGAAGGTAAACATTGGAAAAAATGGCCTAAATATAACATCCGGACTCTTCAATTCCAAACTTATGACCATATTCCAATTCCCCAAAAATCTGACAGGCTTTAAACTCTCTTTCCCAGATCACGCGCTTCTCTCTTCAGGACTTTGACGTTTCCCCTCTGCACAGAAATGGCCCTTCAATCTCTGCTCGGACATGGCGTAGCTTCCCCTCCGCCGCCATAAGCCACCGGACCTCCAGATTCGCTCCCTCTTCGTGACTCTGTCTTCTCCATCGAGAAAGAAATTTATATCTTTCTTCTCTGCACCTGCGCAATCGGCCATCACCGCCTCTTGGACGTACCGGCTCCATCTTCCTTCTGCTCTGCGACTCTGCCGACATCGAACACCGCCGCCTCTGCCGGCACCGACGTCGACGCCTCTGCCGGCCTCCAAGTCGCCATCCTCATCTATTGTTCTTCTTCTTTTTCGTTTTTTCAGATCTGACGTGAAAAGGCGCGGCAACTAGCGTTACGGCGGTGGGTGGTGAACATTGGCTAGGGTTACAACGATGGTGATGGACTGGGGCTGAGATTTGTTTCCTGAAGCTGAATCTGTTGGTTGGGGCTGAGATCTGTTGGTTGAGGCTGAGATTTGTTGACTGGGGTTGAGATCTATTGGTTGGGGCTGAGATTTGTTGGATGGTGGTTGAACAACGGCCATGATTACGAATGTGGTGATGGCAGGAGGTCGAGGGAGTGTGAATAGGGGGTTGGGGATGAATGTCCGTGGCTGATGGTGTTAAACGGCACGGATAAGTTCGCAGGGATAACGGACAGTTTAGGCAGACAGTTAGGAGACACTGCGGTTGGCGGTGCCGGCTGGGTGGCCGCCGGAAAAATTTCTGGTGCAGTGGGGGAGCCAGTCACTGGCCGGCAGTCACTGTGGCCGGAGGCGGCAGTCACTGTGGCCGGAGGCGGCAGTCACTGTGGCCGGTGGGTGGGCAGTCACTTTTAGCGGGTCACTGTGATCGGTGGGCGGGTTAGCGGTAACTTTGGCCGGAGTAACTTTGGCCGGAGTCACTTTGACCGGAGTAACTTTGGCCGGAGTCACTTTGACCGGAGTAACTTTGGCCGGAGTCACTTTGACTGGAGTCACTTTGGCTGGAGTCACTGTAGCGGCGGCGGCGGTGTTGGGTCGGCGGCGGCGGCGGTGCTGGGTCGGCGGCGGCGGCGGCGGCGGCGAAGGATGCGGTGGCGGCGGTGCTGGGGTAGGCGGCCATTTTTTCAAATATATAAAAGGAATATTAAAATAAATGTATGATTAAATAAAAGGAATAAATGACTTTTAGTCACATTTTTTGAAAAATTTAAAACATGTTACTTTTTTATCTTTTCCATTCATTTTAGTAATATTGGAATAAAAAGGCCTAAATATTGTTAGTTCATACAAAAGAAAAGGAAGAAAAATGCATGTGATTCTTTTTTCTTCTTCATATTGATTTTCATTTTCTTAATCACTGACTAGTACATCAACTTTAATCATCATAATAGTTTTACCACAATTACATTATTCTGGTGCAAATGATTGTAAGCTATCAGAATCCTCGTCTAAAAATAGTAATGCCCCACCTTATGCACAACCCGAACACTACTCACACAACATTTTAATTCACTTGTTTTTTCAGTTGACATTTATGATTCAAGTATACATTTACACTTGTTTTTTTCAATTTTTGCATGCACATTTACACTTGTTTTTCAAATTCTACATAATGCATGACTAGCAGTTGCACATTCGTGTTTTTTTATTGTTCAACATACTTGTATCTTGACATTTGCATATTTTGCTCACTCATATGCATTATTATAATTCACTATTGTACCATTGTGTCACTCAAATGCATTATTTGGGATTGTATGTTACATGTTGGTTCTTTTGCATGTCGTATTTGTTGTGATTCTCTATGTTCACACTATGTATCATGTACAAGTTCTCTATAGTATCTATGTATTGTGTTGTAGATACTAGTTCATGTGTGTTAATAATAGTTTAAGTAGTTATATGAAATTCTTTTGTGTTCGATATTAGTTCTCAATTGTTGTGCGTTAGATACTGCTTTTGTGATTGATATACTTGTTCTGGTGCTTTATATACAAATTGTGTGTGTGATACTATTTTTTGTGCATTATATATTAGTTGGTGTGCATTAGATACCTACATGGTCTTGTGTGCAATAGTTGGAGATGCTTGTTGTGGTTTATTGTATACATAGTGTACTTTAAAAAAAACGCAGTATTGGTGTCATATGAAAGATAATAAAATATTATATAATTTGATACAATTTTTTATAAACTTGGACTATAATTGAAAATGTTAAATCAATTTTAAACTAAAAACATTTTATATGATTTGAGTTTTTATTTTGACCTACTTTTTTGGAAAGTGGCAGCCTCCATTCGATAAAATATTGAATGATTTTTTTAGAATTACTCCAATGCCCTTTATTTAACTTACGATTGGTTTATAGAGTGCAAGATTGTTTTTCAATATTTGCACTGACATTGTACATTTGTGCATCTATTTCGGCCCTTTTGGCCTTTAAATTACCTAGACGTTATGGTTAAGATTTGTTCTCACTTCTTACGATAAAGAGTGTTCTCATTGAAACCACTCCTTGTACTTTTTTTGAAACCACTCCTTGTACTTTTTTTTAAACCACTCCTTACGAGAGAGAGAGAGAGAGAGAGAGAGAGAGAGAGAGAGAGAGAGAGAGAGAGGGGGGGGGGGGTGGAATTTAGGTTCAATTGAGAGAATGATTTAGGAGAGAAAGAATGAATATGAACCATTAGATTGTATTATGTGAAATTCAATGTGCATTAGGTTAAATTGAAATGTGCACCACAAAATGTAAGATAGAGTGAAATATAGATATAATTATATTAATAAAGTATATATTAATATATTTTCAATATATATGTATATATATATATTACTCTATTAATATTTTTTAGAGGTATATATAGGTGTATATACTATAATTAAAAAAGTATATAATATATATTTTCGAACATATAATTATAATACTATACATTTTATACATTTACTTTTATATTGTAGGACTATCAAGGCAAAGTCATTTTCATGAATGATAACCATGGCAAGCCATTCAAACTTGAGCATGCCAGGTGTATCATCCGCTCGTTCCCAAAGTGGTACCAATAATACGAAGCTTCGATATCCTCCACCCGGTCAGTACCGTCTCCGCAATTGCATGATTTGCTCACACTCGGAGGTAGTGCTAGTTCTCCCTCGGTTGGAGAGCCACTTCAACGCCCTAAAGGCCGAGACAATAATCAAAAGGAGAAAAGAAGTGGAAAGGCAAAGACGTCTGGGCTAGATCCAGTGATGACACAATGTTTTCAAGAAATGATTGAGCCAGGCAGAAAATGAGGTGCAACAAGAGTTGTGCGCGATGAGCTTCAACACAGAGCCGTGGAGTCATAGATTTTGAAGAACCAGTACGACCTACTAGTTGCAGTCCTTTCAAAGTTTTCACTAAGGAAGCAAAGGTGGATTAGACAAAAACAAGATGAATTCGTTGGGTATTCTCAAAATGTCTTATGTGATGTTCCTCACACTTCCGCATATGAAGAAGTGCATCGTCCCAGCTTTCATTTCTAGTTATTTATATATTGTTTTTTTATTTCGTATTGTGTTGTGAGTTGAATTTCATGTATGTTTTGTTGTGACCCAAGCATACAATTATTCGATTCAAGAAAAGAATAATCGGCAAATCCAGTAATGATCAGTCCCAAGCCATGTATACAATAATAATAGACATAAAAGTAAGTATATCTATCTGGAAGCTAGCCGTCTACTTCGTCTCAGGAGGCGGACGTCGACATCACCTAGATACACATATCTGGCCTCTTCCCTTTTTCTCCAGCCGTATATAGCAGACCAACCTGTTGCTAATGTATTAGGCAGTAAAAATAACAGCCCAATTACCCCACAGTAAAAAATAACTAATACATGTTCTTTTTCTGACAAAGCATTATCTATAATAAAAGATAAGAGATAAGTGGAAAGTGAGCATAATAGAACGGTCACAACAATGCCTCCTCCTGACTTTTGCCTTGTCCTCAAGGTAATAAGAAATCTGGAAACTGAAGCTTGATCACACTAGCTCGTTCCCATGTTGCGTCTTCCCATGTTGTGACATCCCTTGACCATTCTTGTGTCCAGTATTGATATTGGATAAACCTTTGGGAACCCATCTTGATCCACCTCTGGGAGAGTACTATTAACACTATATTTGTTCTTTATCTTA